GCGCTTGGTTTCTCTCCTAACTCAACTAATTAAAGATGCTGCCTCTTGTATCGCCGAAAGACGACCAAATTAGAAATTACTATTCTCTTAGGAAATGAGAAATTTTGTCGCCTTTTCTCGTTTGCAATTTTTTTCTGAATCCGATTTTTTATACCTACGTTTAAAAAAAAGTCAAAATTTGCCGCCCCCCTGAATTTGCCGTCATGGGCCGCGGCCCAAGTGGCCACCCCATAGATCCGGCCCTGTTTAGGTTATTTCAAGTTATAAGTTAGGTCAGATGAAGTTAGACTAGATAAGGAAAGTCCGTTTGCATAGGTATACTTGGTCTATTTCCTGTGGACTGAATACTCAAGCAAAGAAGCGAAAAGTTCAGCAATGAGTATGAAGTCCAATATCTTGGACGAGGTGAGCATGTGGTCCATTGTCTTGGCCATAATGCTACATAATAGGGAATAATACCGATCTGTTTCCAAAAATGAAATTTTGAGGATATAAACTGACCGTATCAAAGAATACTTTGGGATATGATAATTGTTAATTCTTTAGCGTTTTCATTATCATTTCACCGAATAGCGAATGGTTGCAGTTATCTTCAGAAATTATTGCACTATCATAAAAAAAATCGGAGGAAGAGACTATTGCACTTGAATTGTAGGTGGAGTCTTGTAAAATGCACCTGTGCATAGCGGAAGCATTCTAATTTTCACCAGCTGGAACATCGCATGGAGGTTACACATGATGTGCGTGTTAGGATTCTGATGATAATGTCTGGATGTAATATATTCGAACTCCCGCGTTGGATACAGATGAAAATATGAAGGCACATCGCTTCGACTATGATTGTCCCGTTCATTCCTTAAATGATAGGTACTTCACTCTTTTGCATTACAGCAATAAGTTTACAAATGTATTTTTGAGAATGAGAGTGTAGTGCAGTTTTAGCGGGAAATTGTGTTCAATCGGCTATTTATTCATTCGTGAAATGTTCAACCTTTATCGAAAGTACCATTATCGTTTCGGCGGTGAAAGTACCAGACCACGTATCTCGGTTTGCGTTGCTGTAGATTTCCTGCCATACTTTACTTTTTTAATGGAGAACAACTCAAAGTTAATTGTTGAAAACTTCTCTGTTTTTTCCTCTCTGTACGAAGATAACTGCGAAAATTTCAAGAAATTATATTGTTTTGTTCTTCTTTAAAAAAAAATAAATTTGGAGCGGAAATTTTTAAACACCGCAAACGAGTACGTGGTCTGGTACTTTCACCGTCGATTTGTTTCGAGTGATTTTGATTGACATGTTTTGCTGAAGTTCCTCGTTATTAATTTTCACTTCAGAATGTCTGTAATCTGAAAACAATTACTGAGAATAAGACAAAAAAATGTTCGTGAGAATAAGAATTAAAATGCAAAATGGCAGAATTTTTAAACAAGAAGCTGTGTGCAGAACTACTAACTGCTAAATGCGAGAGGAAAATTTTGAAAAAAATACATGGCCCCCTTCCGATGATAATACTAACAATCTTGGGATCAATTCCTTCATGAAGAGTGCTAACCAAAATAGTAAGAATGGTTTGGTCTCATTAACCACAGTTCTTCGTGAGAAGAGCAAAGAAGCTAAAAGCTTATTTTTGCAGATTGAATTTGTCTCATAATTGAGTTTTAAGATTTACAGTGTCTCCCATCTTTCGCAGGAATTATGCGAAAAATATGGGTGAAATGATAAAGTTCGAAATGAAAAATAATGTTCAGGTAATGGACACGCCGCGCACGTGTTAACAGAATCAGCCATGCTACACCAGACATCGCCTGATTTTCGTCCAAGTTTTGTTTTTAAAGCAAAAAACAAGCAGCATCTCGGTTTTAAATATTTTGGGTACGTTCTTTAAAATTAAGGATAAATTCTCTGTAGGTAACGTTTAAAGACGTTATGGATTTTAGTTCCCTGTCATCAGAATAAAAGAAAAGAGGGAAGCATAGGCAACCGGGAATTCAGTTATAGTTTTTTTTCTGGTTTAACTTGTCCAAATGATAATGGTCAGGGGTGAGAATTCGGTGAAACGGCACTGGTGCAGTCTAAACCTCTAGGATGAAAGTTTATACACTTCTGATCCGGTAACCCAAGAAGTAAGAAATTTCGTTTATGGCAAGTGACGAACTATCACTTAATTTAATTATCTTTGTTTGGCCTAGTAAGAAGTGAAGTGAGAAAGTACCTATAACTAATTTTTTACATCATGTCATGAAGAAGCTAACTAATTTGCGGAACCGTTCTCAAGCTTAGCATAGAGAAATGCAGAGGAGAAACAAGGCTATATAAAGACAGCGTGAGAGAGTTTTGAGAGGGAACAGGAAAAGAAACAAAATTCAATCTAAAGCGAACAAAACTAAGAAGAAAAAGAAAAGTTTCAACGTTAAAGCCGAGCATAGATGCAGAACTTCTTGTAATTAATTGATTGATGAGAGTGGGTTCAGCGTAGATATTTTTTTCTACACCTCCTTTCCTACCCTTTAAAGCATGGTTTTGTTAGCCATCTTTCAAAGTGAGTAAAAGCGGTCTCAATGAATTGCAAGAGAGGACAATTTTGTCTTTTTTTATGACAGAGCTGTTTCATCGCATCTTTTCTATTTTATCATTTCCGCTCATTTTTTGGCATTCTCTAAAAAACCGAGAGGTTTATGCAGAACATTACTCATGAACGCATTCTCTGTAAAATATTTTCAGCTCGATGGCCACGAGAGGAAATTCCTATTTTTTTACTCTTTTTTTCTCTTTTTTTTCTGTTGATACATCATATTTCTCTCTCTTTTTCATGTTCCTGGGTAAATGTGGGGACAATTCAGGGGCTTGGAGGACAAGGCGCACAAGTGCAGTTTTTGATATTTCGAGAAATACGTGTTTGAAGTTTCGAAATCTAATGGCTCTCTATGACAAAAAGAAAGTTCAAACTGCCTTTTTGATGTTTAACAATTGGAATTTGGGAGCGAATTTTTCGCATAGTATGCATTAAAACTAGTTTTACTGGATATCATTAATATCTCAATTTTTTCAAAAACTGCACTTATGCGCCTTGTCCTCCAAGCCCCTCAATTGTGCCCTCCGTCCCCTATGTACCTCAATCGTTCGAAAGAAGTCCTTAAATTTGAAAGTCTTTTAACATTTCAAAACTATGTTTCATGATGAATGCTGACATAGACCACTTTCACTTACTTCGACTCATTTAGTTTTGGAAGCGGAATTTTACATCCTTATAAGAGGAAATCAAGAACAAAAGAAAATTAAAGGACATTATTTTTTGCCTGTTTTTTCGGACGAAAAAAGGAAACGCTGCTATTTTTTGTGCCTCTCAAGAAATAGGTACAAGCTGCTTAGCTAATAGTTCATGCAGTCATCATACTTAAAAAATACACCCTAGGGTCTTAAGCGCTCTTCTTTCATTCTATTTTGACGTAGGGATTACGTCGTACCCCTTTCTTAATTGGCCTGAGAAGGATTTGGAGTCCTCAGATTGGCCAGGAAGTGACATGTCTTTTTCCGATTAGAGGGCAAGGGTTTGCGGCTCAACCGCTAAAAAATGACCTATGAACGGGAATTTTTATTCCGTTTCTTTTCGCCTAAAAATATCAATTACAAATATCTACCTTAATGTCATATTTTTGTGTACTATTGGTTTGAAGTATACTCATTCTCGATTGAAATACATTTTGCATTAAACAAAAGAGGAAAAAACCAGAACTGCAATGTAGATAAGAATATGTATTTTCTACACTTACAATAAAATAACGCTGAAAGCAGGTCGATAGGTAAAATTGACAGGTTAGTCTCATTTTTATAGATTTATTTTGGCAGAAAAACAAAAGCTTATTCATTTTTTTTTTCTTTTGAGACACAAGGAGCGCATATTCTTAGCAGCATTGCAGTGTTAATGATTTCTTCATGCACAGAGTGGTCCAAAAGTACCGCACCATCCCCACGACCCCTATGTTTTTTGCCCATTTTCAGGGTGGGCTCCTTAACGTTTTTGAAGGGTGGGGTCCCTTGAGGTCGTTTGCCTTGACTTAAGATCACTCGCGAAATTTCGAGTCTCTATCTCGATTGTTCAATAGTTACAGGTACGATGGAAGATGCTAATGGTGCAAGACTTTTAGATCACCCTGTAGAGTGTATCCCGTTGACCAACCTCCCCTTATACTGCCATGATAGCAAAGAGAGTAGTAATAAGTGCAAAAATGAAGTTTTGAGAACACGGGCTCAGGAGCTTCTGACCTGAAAATTTTATTGAAAAAAGCCTCCTTAGTTCTTAGTCTGATTGCCACTAATCGTCCAAAAGAATCCTAGAAATCGTTTGGATGATTTAAAATTGACTGATTTTGTTTACAATTACATAAACTATGGGTATTTTTCATTTTCATGATATGTTATTTCTAGGCAAGACAGCCGAAAGTGATATCTTCTGCACGCTTTCGTGGTTGCGTTTTGGACACACAACTAACGCATTCGCAGAAAAGGGTGGCACTTTAGTTGAAAGCATTGTTTTCATTGGCTCTTTGGAGGAATAATGTCACTTACTGCTGTCTTGCTTGAACTTATGTCATTTTTTGCGCTCTTACGGCTTTCTAAAATGTCTCGTTTTGCTCCAATCAATGTGAATTTTGCTGTTTTAGCAATTTCAGTAATTTCATCTAAAAGAGTTTAAACGAATTTTGAAGGAAACTCATTTTCCAAAATTTGACACTTACTGTTCTCCTCGCTGTCACGGCAGTATATCCACTTTCTATTAGCCTGAACCTGGAACGAGTATTCCCTACGTCAAAAATAACGTCTTCACTGGACCCTTGTTTTTCTTTCTTTAAAATTTCTGTACAAAAGCAGAATCTTTTCCCCCAAACCACGAAGCCTCTGTTAATTGGGTCATCTAACACCATCACCGTGGCAAGCTCTCTACAGCATGGCATAACGAACGAACAAGGTGTAGGTGAATTATAAGAAAATTGAATCATACTTGCAATTACGGTGGTTTGCAGATATTATTATCGAGACCGACGGGACTCTAACCAATGTTTTGGACCGATCAAAGCTGCAGCCAAAACAGAACAGTCAAAGCAAGTATTAATTCAAAAGTGCTCGGTAAGGTATAAGCTATCGTGGCCAGATGAGATTGCAAGAGCGCGGTGAGTTGGCGGGAAAGCACATGAAAATGAACGATGAACGTTAATTGATGACGTAGTGATATGATTGGAACATACACTGAAAAAAAAAATCTCGGTGTATTTACTAAGAAAATGGTAAAATTACCAAGAATTCAGGGTTCTATTTGATCCCAGTTTTTTCTTCGTAAAATTACCATTTATGGAATTGGTAATTTTACCGAGAAAACTCGGTAAAATTATTGAGCTTTCTCGGTAATTTTACTGGACCTTGGTAAAAACGCCAATATTTTTTATCGACTATGGTAGAATTACCGAGATAAAATGGCAAAGTTACCGGGAATCGATTACCAATAAAAGCGGTATTCTTACCTGAAAAAAACAGTAAAAATACCGGTTTTTAGGTAAGCTTACCAGACTGTCTTGGTAAAATTACCAATGATTGGTAAAAAAAGTGAGATGGTAAAGGTACCAACGGACCTTGGTAAAAACGCCGAGAATTTTTTTTCAGTGTAGTCTCTGGACCACAGGCCTCTCTCACAAAGCTTGTACAATAGCTCATCGTCAGTTTTCGTAAAATTAATTCTTTACAAAATTCTCACAATTCTAGTATAACTTAAACCGATTTCATTCCGAGAGAGTTTCTTACGGATGTCATCTACTCCAAGTAGAATAATCAGAGTGCATATTGTAGATTAGATTTAGGGCTGGGTTTGAAAAATATGGTTCTAAGAAAGTACCACACAAAACGAGAGATTTACTTCCCTTCCCCTCGTTACAGGGACATTAATGGTTTGTATTTATGTTTGTTTGGGTGACTGCAAGTCAAATTGCGCCATCACCATCTTACTTGAATCATAGACGATTTCTGTCGGTTTTTAGTCTTTTCATGTGCAATTGCAACGCAGAGATTGTGATGGTGCATTCAACATTTTGAAGTGGACATCCTTTTTAGTTAAAGAGCCACTGCTTTCAGCTCATTCTTTGTAGTAATAAAAAATCCAGCACGATAAGGAATATAATCGAGCAGAAATTGTTTCTAAAATGAGCCAAAAGAATAGATGCTCATTGCAGAATGTAGTCAAAATGTACTTCAATGCTGCTGGGCTAAGAAAAAACATTGAACATTGAACATTTGACGCTGACTTATTTTCTCTGATCGTATGCAATGATTGCAATGATCTTTTGCAATGTTTTTTTTTTTTTTTTTTTTTTTGGAAAACTAGTGACATACTTTCAAGGATTTTCTTCACAATGCAATCTTGTGTGATTGTGAGCATTTCCATGAGAAATTATCATAAATTTTCTCGTACAAAAATGCAAAATATATACGATAACATTTGGCAATATAATGCTCATGCAACATTTTTCCTTAGCTCGGCAGAATGAAAAAATGGAATTTAAATGGCTGCGCCTGGATGCAGCCATTCTTGTTCAAGGGTAGTCGGTGTTGCATAGCGAAAAGTTGAAGGCGCACTGGACGTATCACTCAAAAGAACACAGTATTACTCACCTCTAAGCGACTCCAAACCATGCAGACCTATTCGTCTGCAAGGTTTATGGACGAATAATAGGAGTCCCGAGAAAAACGGTATTGCCTTTTGCCTAAATTGTTGTTTCCTTTGACAACCTTTCAATTTAAACGCTAATAATGTGAATAATGGTTTGAAAGTTAAATCCGTTCTTCTTACGAGTATTAGGAAGTGTTTTGAATCGAAATCTGCAAATCGATATTTTGCCCCACAACCGGTTTATCCGTTAGCTCCGCTTTGGTTAAATGATTAATGCTGTACCACCTCGAATCCATGTTTCATTTTTAACCCTAAACTTGTTTTTTGCTGTTCTGGACACGGAAAAAAACGTGTCAGGGTACTAAAATTGTGGTACTATCCCAATTCGTCGGATGATATGGACATTTCAAATTAATTTTGGTAGCACCGCAACTCAAGTTCGGGTAGTACCGCAACATTCGGATTAGTAGCCTAATTTATCGGGATACTACCACAAGTAATTGGGATAATACCACAATTAATCGGGGTATTACCAAAATTAATTTGGAATGTCCATATCTTCCAACAGTTGGGACCTACACCCTACCTCTTTTTTTCGGTGGAAAATTTGATTTTCCATTCTTTGGCACGTTTTGCCGATTCCATCAATAAATAAAACCGCAAGATAGGGCTTCGCCAATGAAGGTCATTCAACAAGCGGCGTATACACATCTCAGAATAAACCCACAGGTAGCATGAGTGGTTTATCGATGTAAGGGCGGTTTGGCGCGGACGGTATGGAAAATATTGAAGTATTCATCTCCCGGGATGGACGCTACGTTATAGAGAGGGAAATTGCACTCCCTTCCACCCCGCTCGGAGGTCACTTGACTCACATAGCTTTAGTTAGGGATGCTCGAGGGCTAATGTGTACGAAACCGCAGGCCCTGAGGTCACCGCTATTTCCGACCGAGTTAACTCGTACCTCTCGCCATCGATTGAGGGTTCGGCTAAGGTATTAATGAGAATCTGTTGCACACGAGAGGTATAGGTAAACAGGGTTGCACGAGTTAAATTAAAAACCTGATTGGAAATTCCCGTGAAATATTTCATAAAATTTCACCAAGTCGTGAAAAATATTTCAGGGACACGGCTCATTCTGCCGTGCCAGGGAAGAACGCCATATGAGCCTTCAGATGTCACCAAGTTTCTTCCGATAAAAATCGAAGTAACTGAGAAAATTGAGAATATTATTTTCCACAATTTTCAGACAATTTTGTGCGCAATTTACGCAAATATCTTAAAATTTCAAGAAAAAATATGCATGAATGTTGTCAAAAATCCATGTCTTATCAAGGGAAATTTGGCAACTCTCGAGTGTTCATAAGGCGTTCTTCCTTAGTGCGGCAGCATTGTGAGCTCACGCCTCGAGCCATCGCGCCTTCAATTTTGCCGACGCAACACGGACAACCATCAAGCACGAATAGTTGTATCTCTGCGCCGACATCAACACGCGTTCTTTTCCTTGCTCGATAAGTTCTATTCTGCGTTTCTTGCGTTTGTTCTATTTGTAGTGGTGTTTCAAAGGCTACAAATATAAGAAATGTTTGCGGGCCTTGTTTTTTAAGCGTGCCAGTAGGGCTCGCTTTTTGAAATCACTCGGATGTACCATAGTACAGCACACCGATCAACCAATGCTATTCAACGGGCCGTCCAAATATTTTTTTCCTCGGACCCGTTTTCTTGTCTTTGAACCATTATACTGTCAAGCCCTGATGGTCTCTTACCAAAAAACCGAATGAACTGCTAATTGGGAACCCTTGAGAACATTTTCCTGTCAAAACCGTATTATTTCATTTGACAAAAACCTCATAGACGCTTTCTTACGCTCGGAGGACTCAACTCTAGAACCTTCTTTCCCGCCAAAACTGTTTAGCCAATGAGCGTCTTGCACTGCAAGTGCAATCTGTGATGAGCCTCGTGACTCTTTATACCATGTACTAACCGTGGCCCCTGCAGAAATCCACTCAAACCACTGCAGTTATCTCCCGATATAGCTTTGGTTGTCAGGTTTCGAGCAAGGCAATAAAAGACGGCGAGGAGAGGGTCGCCTCGTCGAACCTATTATCTTCCACGCCCGATTAACCATTCACCGTGACGCCAGGATCCACCAAATTTTCACAAAAATTGTTTTCCGTCTATTTAGCGAGTTTTTCCTTACTTTCCGTTAAAGTACAAATAAAAAGAGACCTCATTTGTAAAAATCGGCCGAATAGGAGAGAAGTTCCAGTTCGAAATCCAAAGAGATTAACTCAACGCGATTTCGATGCACGGCAGTTCGCCCAAATCACGGTCGTGCGAAATGCCGCATATCAGCTTAAAATCAAGATAATTGGACGGAATCTTTAAAATCAATTTACATTCAACGTTCATGAATCAATATTTTCTCCCAAATTTAGCAAAAAGTACCAATTGATGCAAATAACAAAGACGTGAAAATAGTAGGTATGTGTCCAACATTTTAGTTATTTGGCACGCTTTTCCAACATATTCATGTTAGATTTTTCTGCTTGTTTAACTTTTCTCTCAAGTCTGAGCGACGCCTTATCGGCAACATAGAGTATTGAATTGCAAGGTTACATTTACTGTCATCAACGCGCGTTGAGGTGGCTCTTATTTGTGTATATTGAGGAAATTTAAGATCGAGTTTGCACAGAATATACCGTGATGTTTCTAAATCAATAATCATATTGAGGAATAAGAAAAAAATGTTTAAAGATCTCTCAAACGCACTGAATGGCGCACGTCTAAAAATTGGTATTTTGGCGCGATTTGTATCGTGTCAAAGAATTCTTTTAGACAACAATTCCTGAAAACTCCAAGCCGCACTGTGAATTGAGTCAAATAGAGGAGTCTGGCATACAATTTTTGGCTAAAACTGCAAATTTTGATGTTAATGTCGTCATATTTAAAATTTCAAGGGGTGCTCTAAGATGAAAATTTCACGATAAAACCGACAGAGCCACTATTAGAACGTCAAAGTCTTGTGTACACGGAGTTATAAGTGTTCAAAGTTTCCAAATTTTGTCCGACCTTTCCTACTCATTCGGTCCACCGTGAGCCGGGTCAAATCGACACGACGATCTCGTAGGTATGACTCATGGGAGGGAGGAAAATAGAGAGTGAAAGTTTATTACTAAAGAGGTGAAAATTACCAAACAGTATTTCTTACCCTAAAAAACGTAGGAATAACATGAACATACTTGGAAATACTATCAAAATGGAGGTATTTAAGTACGGCCCAATTTGACCCGACTTGGGACTTTGCGTAAAAAAAAAGCCTAGGACATCTGAGGGTCAAACTAGCTACCAGCCCACAAGTTTTGCGAGAAGCAAGAGTGGATAGAAGGAAGACCAAATGCCATGTTGTCAGAGAAAGA